CCTCCAGCTCCCCGTGGTGTTCCACAAATTGAAGTCAAGTTTGACATTGATGCAAATGGCATTCTTTCTGTAACTGCTGTTGATAAGGGCACTGGGAAGAAGCAGGACATCACCATTACTGGCGCTAGCACCTTGCCAAGTGATGAGGTGTGTAGCTTATTAGTTGTCCATGGTTTTATGATTCGTTTAAGTATTGTTATTAGTGATGCATGGGTGCATCTTAGTGTTATTTGGAGTAATGAATGCAAGGCATTCTGCATTAGAAAACTTCTCACTTGATTCCAATATCTTGCTAGTGGGGGTCTTGTAACTATGTATGGATAAACTATATGCAGGTTGAGAGAATGGTGAAGGAAGCAGACAGATTTGCTGAGGAGGACAAGCAAAAAAGAGATGCCATTGACACAAAGAACCAAGCTGATTCTGTTGTATACCAGACAGAAAAGCAGCTAAAAGAGCTTGGGGACAAGGTTCCTGGTCCCGTGAAAGAGAAAGTTGAGGGCAAACTTCAAGAGCTCAAGGATGCTATATCTGGGGGCTCAACACAAGCTATGAAGGATGCCATGGCAGCCCTTAACCAGGAAGTGATGCAGCTTGGTCAGTCCCTTTACAACCAACCAGGTGCAGCTGGAGCTGGTGGTGCTGGTCCTGCACCTGGGGCGGATGCTGGATCTTCAGATTCCGGGAGCAAGGGGCCTGATGGAGATGTTATTGATGCAGATTTCACTGACAGCAAATGAGCAAAAGAAATGTTGGCCAGTGTTTATCGGTGTGCATTGGAAACGGGTTTTGCAGGTGTAATGGCTTTGGTGGTCATTTTTGTTTCCAATGGAAGTTGTAAACAATTGATTCTAGGACTATAGAGGACATAGAGATTGATGCTTCAAAATGCTCTTGATTAAATATTGTTTAGACTCATCATTGATTAATAATAAATCAAAATAATTAGTTTTTATTGAATAAATGACATAAATGATGTAAATTCGTGCATAACCGTGATCAGATGTTAGCCTACTCAAAGAAGTTTCCTTTATGTCGGTGGATAATGTAAGTTTATAATATTGATCTATTATTAAAATCAATGAATGTAATATGTTATTTGATAAATAAATGTATATAATATTATAAGTAAATTATTATATTATAAATTTATAATATAACAAAAGATTATAAATATAATAGTTTAAGTTTTTTTTTCTCGAGCAAATTACTTGAAATTTCTTAATTTTTTTTGTTAAATAATAGTTATTTTATAAGAAAATTTTATCAAATACATTTAAATATTTTTATAAAAAACTTTATCATCCTAATTTTTTATAATTTCATTTTAAAACTTATATAAATAAAAAATAAATTTTAATATTATGTTTTTATTTCTCATTTAACAATTTAAGATACGTAGAATAAAAAAGGAAAAAAAAAAAGGTTTGCACGACACATTTTTGATAGAACATTTTCTCTCGGTCTAATTATAGAGTTTCTATTTATTTGCTCCGTTGACAGGGAGACAACCCCCACACACCCCCACCACCTCCCCCGGCGCCCCTGTGATTGTGATTGAATAAATGAATCTTGATAACAGCATCATGGATCAAGAATGATGAACAAGACACGAAATTCTTTTCTTACAAGACAAGTTACATTTCCAAGTGGCATCTACTTACAATGATTGAAGACCCAACAAGTTTACTAACAACATAACAGAGAACCCATCATTTACAATTTACAACTATTTCTCATCTTCCATCCGCCGATGTGAATGACTCAGCAAATCCACAAGGCCGTGTTGGTATGCTTGTCTGAGTGTTGTCCAAGCTGGGCAGAAGTGAAGAAGAAGATGACTCCATATTGCTTCTTCCTTCATAAGCTTGCCATTTCTTCAGTGCCTGTGGCAATGACATTTCAAGATCAATGCCGTATATATCTTCAGAGCTCTGGTCAGTCGGTTTCCAGTGCTCCACCAGGGAGGAAATCACATTTACAACGTGGCCCATGTCAGGTCTTTGATAAGGCTCCCTTGCACAACAATGACCTGCCAACTCAGCAACCGTGCTGATGCTCGAAATTGTTTTCTCATTAAGGTCAATTGTGGGGTCAATAGCTTTCCGGAATGAGTCTTTGTTGATGTGCATTCTCTTGAACCATGTTACTAGGTGCATGCTTTCTTCAGGTTGGCTCTCATCCAGTGCTTTTCTCCCGGTGATTAGTTCCATCAGTATCACACCAAAGCTGAATACATCAACTTTAGTTGTTACTCTGCCCGTTACTGCAAAATGCCAGAGAATTATAATATGGATTTAAAATCAGAGATTGATAGTATGGGGAAAGAAATTCAAACTTTCAAAGAGAGCAGTTGCTTGATTGATTAACTACATAGCAGAATCAATATTCAGTATTTAACTAAACTACTACTTAAACTAGAGATGAAATGGCTTTGGAGTTTCCAGAACAATGTTGTAGAATTTGCACCACAAAATGGATAGAGATTCATGGGTGAAGAGATCAATGATTCTATCCCTACCTGCTTAAAATGTTAGCAAATACCTTTCTTGCATACTTGTACTGGCTTCTTGCACGCCAGATGTACAGGAAGAATTTAAATAGCAAAATGACCATACAAAAAGATGCAAATGACCAGAAGTACCTGCATATTCTGGTGCTAGGTAGCCAAAAGTTCCAGCAATTCTAGTTTCAATTGAGCCTTTACCCTCGGGAGCAAGACGTACAAGACCAAAATCAGCAACCTTAGCCCTCATGTCATCTCCAAGTAGAATGTTTGAAGGTTTCAAGTCTCTATGTATAAAGCTCTGATGAGCCAAACCATGGAGATACTCAACACCCCTGGCCACATCTAAGGCAATAGTCAACCTTTTCGTCCATTCCAGGGGTTTCAATCCTTCTTCAGCCCAGTTAAGGAGATGCCTGCTGAGAGTACCCTGGGGCATGTATTCATACACAAGAAGTTTCTCGTTCCCATCCAAGCAATAACCAAGAAGAGCAACAAGATGCCTGTGTCGAACCTTAGTCAAAACAGCAATCTCAGATTTGAACTCAGCTAATCCCTTGCCACTTATAACCCCAGATTCCATTCTCTTCACAGCAATCTGGGTACCATCATGCAAATCACCTTTATATACAACTCCAAAGCCTCCTTGTCCCAAAATATTTTTTTCACTGAAATTGTTTGTCACATTTCTTAGAAGTTGGATTGAGATCACCATGTTCCCTGCTTCCACCATCTGTATGTCACCGGCTTCACTGCTAGGAACAGTATGAGTTTCACTCACTGCACCAACACTTGTGCTTGAGCCTGCGACCGCAATCTTTAGACTCTCATTATCAGATCCAGAATGGAGAGGATGAATCACTATTGCATTTGGGCTCTGCACTCTGCTAAACCGCTTCTGTTTCTTTCTATAGAGACAGAAACCCAACAGACCAATGAAGACAATCACACCCAAACCCCCCAACACAGAAGCCAGTATTATTCCAATCAAAGCAGAAGACTTCTTGCCGCCATTACTTCCTGTCCCTGATCCTGTACTTCCTGGGGGACTTCCAATTGTGGAACCCTTGGGTACAAAATCATTTTTCTCCTTTCCTATGTCTGGATTACCATAAGTGTTTACAATCACATTGCTCTTAAACGCAGGAACTTTCCCATAGAGTTGATTGTTTGACACATCAAGCTCTTTAAGCCCAACTAGAGTAGTAAGCTCATCAGGAATCGAACCAGTTAGATTATTACCAGCAAGCACCAGCCTCTGCAGTGACTTAAGAGATGCAAAGTCTGGAGAGATTGTACCTGTGAGGCCCATCTTCTCAAAGTTAACAACAAGTATTTCCCCATTGCTACATGTAATCCCAACCCAAGCTGCACATGGATCATTCTCCCTCCAATTTTCTGCAAACCTTTGCGGATAATCCAGCAGCTTCACAATGGAAAGCAAGCTAGTCACCCTTGCATCACAATCACCAGGAGTTGGGAGGCAAAAACTATTAGTGTCCTTAACCATATCCACAGAAACTGACTTCTTAAAATCAGGCATTGGACCTTGAAGCAAATTATTTGTCAAATTTACAACCTGTAATGACTCAGTGTTGACCAAAGAAACAGGAACAGGACCAGTTAACTTGTTGTCCCTCAAACTCAGACTCTGCAAATCACTCAATCCTGAGAAGTCCGGTAAAGGACCAGTAAACCCATTAGAGTGCAACCAGACCTCTTTCAATATTGTCATGTTCTGGATAATATCAATGCTGCCAGTGAGATGACTATTACTTTTCTGGCCGTTTACCCAGAAAGACTGGATCTGTGAGCCAGAAAAAGTTGTGGGCAATTCTCCTTCTAGATTATTGAAAGCTAAATGCAAAAGGGATAGACCCGGAAACTCATCTGGTCCGAGAAAATCAGGAATTTTCCCAGAAATATTAGCAGAGTTAGCGGAGAAATTCTGTAAAGCAGAGGCATTTCTCAAACTCTGAGGGATTTCCCAGGAATCAAAAGGGTTGTAATCAATCTCTAAACACAGAAGAGAAGATAAACCGGAAAAAAAATCAGCAGGAAAAGAAGTAAACTGATTGTTACTGAGCATGACCACCTGCAATGAGCCTAACCCTTTCAAGCTAGGGACCGGACCTGAAATGTTGTTGTACTGTAGCTCCAACCGCTCCAGTTCCACCAGTTTCTGAAGATCTGGAGGGAGCGTACCTTGCAAGTTCTGGTGACCCAGTTGGATGCGAGTGATCCGGCGGTCGTCGGAGCAGGCTACACGGGCCCATTTGCATGGATCAGGGTCGGACCACCCAAGTGGGTTGAGAGCTTTCTTGAGAAGTTGCATGACGGCGGCATCATCCGCTGCAGTCCCCTGAGACGTGACGCCTAAAACGGTTAGAGAGAAGGCGAGAACAATGGCGAAAAGGTACTGGGTAGTTGTCGTCATGGTGAGTTGGTTGGAGGAGGAGAAGGGAGACGCGGAGTAAGTAGGGGACGAAGGAAGCAGCAAACAGGTTTGAGCTTTGGGAAAGGAATGGGGATGGCAAAATGATAGAGATGGAGAGGGACATGTGCAGAGATGGAGCCAAGTGCAGCGGAAATCTGGTAATCATAGGCTGTCAACATGTGTAGCTTTCATAATTGTAAAGTTTTGTTTGAAGGAAAAAATGATTTATAGATAATTATTTTATTTTATTTTATTTTTATGTATAATTTTAATATTTAAAAATTACATTAAATTTTAATTAATTTAAAATTAATTCTTTCATTCATGAGAT